AGGTAATGGGTATTGATTGAAAACACTTGCGTGCGAATGCAACATGATTCCTATATCGTATGTGTTTGATTAATTGTTTAAGTTTTACTACGACAACGGACACTAACCGAGCAAAATGAGGATTCGTCAGAACAGAACAGTTCGAATCGCGCAGACTTGATCTGGAAGTAGAAGTTTAAGACCGCTGTCGGAGTCGAAGTAGGACAACGTTAACAACAGTCATCGATATCTTATCCACCAATCTAAGTTGGAATATTACAATCTCATATACAGTTCTCTTCACATAAGTATAACCAATACCATTAACATTTTAACAGTCAAATATTTTATTGCCAGTAAATTCTTGTGCCCCTGAAAACTGTTACTTCTACTTTATCTAATCTGCTAATAACGCCTCAGGTTTTTTAGGTTTTGCTCCCAAAAAAAAATGTATTTGGTTTATGTAGCAATTATAATAAATGACACATTATTTTCAGGCGTGAGTTAGCGATAGGACTAACGAAGTGCAAGGTTGAAGGTTGTCCAATGTTATTGGTCGCTGCGAGAGGGGCTGAACGAAGCGAATACTTTTAGTTTTAATAAACGGGCTGTTATCAATTAATTAAATAGATTAGAAGATCAATCACAAACAGTATTTAAAACAACTCACAGTGATACGATCAATATTTCTTTGCAAAATAAATTATTAAAACTAGTTAACATATTACAACTTTCATCAATCTTCGTTTCAGATCTTTTAGCCCATATCATAAGAGATCTGTCTTAATAATACTGGTTTACAGAAGAAATAATCCCATGGAATTTCAATATCAAACTGATTCCTTTCATCTAAAACTCACTATTTTCAGAATCCTTGACGTTCTAGAAATTTAGTAACACTGTCAGCGAACTGCCCTGGTATGAGCACTCTACAGAATGGAGCGTCTATGTGTATGTAGGAGGGAGGATAGTCTTCTGTTTGTTGCAAATGTTCGAGAAGGTCCTCAACCAGTACGTTGTAATCACCAAATACCTGTTAGGACGTGATTAAGTATTATAATTCAACTTTAGTAACCAGAATAAACATGAACTGATAGAATAATATCAAACATTAATGAGCATATAATTTACACTAATGACTAACATTTACGAAGAATGATTAGAACTTAGATTTATAATCAGATGAGTTGATCTCAAGTCTCAATGATAATAATTGAACTAACCTAACAGAACTGTTCTGACAGGATATGGAGGCACTAACTTACCTTGTTAACAACTGTTCTGACAGGATATGGAGGCACTAACTTACCTTGTTAACGACTGTTCTGACAGGATATGGAGGCACTAACTTACCTTGTTAACAGCTGTTCTGACAGGATATGGAGGCACTAACTTACATTGTTAACAGCTGTTCTGACGGGATATGGAGGCACTAACTTACCTTGTTAACAGCTGTTCTGACAGGATATGGAGGCACTAACTTACCTTGTTAACAGCTGTTCTGACAGGATATGGAGGCACTAACTTACCTTGTTAACAACTGTTCTGACAGGATATGGAGGCACTAACTTACCTTGTTAACAACTGTTCTGACAGGATATGGAGGCACTAACTTACCTTGTTAACAACTGTTCTGACAGGATATGGAGGCACTAACTCACCTTGTTAACAACTGTTCTGACAGGATATGGAGGCACTAACTTACCTTGTTAACAACTGTTCTGACAGGATATGGAGGCACTAACTTACCTTGTTAACAACTGTTCTGACAGGATATGGAGGCACTAACTTACCTTGTTAACAACTGTTCTGACAGGATATGGAGGCACTAACTAACCTTGTTAACAATTGTTCTGACAGGATATGGAGGCACTAACTTACCTTGTTAACAACCGTTCTGACAGGATATGGAGGCACTAACTTACCTTGTTAACAGCTGTTCTGACAGGATATGGAGGCACTAACTTACATTGTTAACAGCTGTTCTGACAGGATATGGAGGCACTAACTTACCTTGTTAACAACTGTTCTGACAGGATATGGAGGCACTAACTTACCTTGTTAACAACTGTTCTGACAGGATATGGAGGCACTAACTCACCTTGTTAACAACTGTTCTGACAGGATATGGAGGCACTAACTCACCTTTTTAACAATTGTTCTGACAGGATATGGAGGCACTAACTTACCTTGTAAACAACTGTTCTGACAGGATATGGAGGCACTAACTCACCTTGTTAACAATTGTTCTGACAGGATATGGAGGCACTAACTCACCTTGTTAACAATTGTTCTGACAGGATATGGAGGCACTAACTTACCTTGTTAACGACTGTTCTGACAGGATATGGAGGCACTAACTCACCTTGTTAACAACTGTTCTGACAGGATATGGAGGCACTAACTTACCTTGTTAACAACTGTTCTGACAGGATATGGAGGCACTAACTCACCTTGTTAACAACTGTTCTGACAGGATATGGAGGCACTAACTCACCTTGTTAACAACTGTTCTGACAGGATATGGAGGCACTAACTCACCTTGTTAACAACTGTTCTGACAGGATATGGAGGCACTAACTTACCTTGTTAACAACTGTTCTGACAGGATATGGAGGCACTAACTAACCTTGTTAACAACTGTTCTGACAGGATATGGAGGCACTAACTCACCTTGTTAACAACTGTTCTGACAGGATATGGAGGCACTAACTTACCTTGTTAACAACTGTTCTGACAGGATATGGAGGCACTAACTTACCTTGTTAACAACTGTTCTGACAGGATATGGAGGCACTAACTAACCTTGTTAACAATTGTTCTGACAGGATATGGAGGCACTAACTAACCTTGTTAACAACTGTTCTGACAGGATATTGAGGCACTAACTTACCTTGTTAACAACTGTTCTGACAGGATATGGAGGCACTAACTAACCTTGTTAACAACTGTTCTGACAGGATATGGAGGCACTAACTAACCTTGTTAACAACTGTTCTGACAGGATATGGAGGCACTAACTTACCTTGTTAACAACTGTTCTGACAGGATATGGAGGCACTAACTAACCTTGTTAACAACTGTTCTGACAGGATATGGAGGCACTAACTTACCTTGTTAACAACTGTTCTGACAGGATATGGAGGCACTAACACATCAGTACATTCCATCTCCGAGATATCCAGCTCATTCTTCACTCTGTTCACATGGTACTCTGTCTGAAGAGAAGGGACAGTTAATATAAAAAGATTTCTGTGTGTTTGAACACTAATTTTAAGTTCTACTGTTTACGGTCCCAACTTTATCATTACTCAACATGCTTCACAACCACAGATGTTTTATTATACGAGTCCCTTAGTCTCCGGATCCTGAGGTAATTTTGGGTTGAATGGGTTAGATCGAGGTCAAACTTTGCTCGCAGTTAGTAATACAATAGTTCATGTTACTGTTAGTAGAGACTCCCAGGATCCTATTAGTTTTGTCATTGAAGTTCCGAACTTTAAGTTTAGTACTTGTTTTACTACAAACATAGCGTGACGAACTGAGTACGTATACCCAATGTTTCCTTGAGAGTGTAAAAACTAACATCTGTGAATACCATTATTATGATGTGACACCGCGCTCTCAGTTATACTTATCTAACAAAATTATATGCCATTATCTCACTTTCTATCTCAACTGAAAACCGACCGTAATCTCAGATAGCACTGGTTAACGGATATAGCCTCGCGGTTGGCTGATATTTTAAGCTCCTGATACGTGGCTCTAACTTGAGAGGATGCCCTCGTTGTTCTTGTCGATCTTTACATTTTATCTCCATGATTTGCTTTTGTTTACGCTTCGAAACAGCTTTAGAACCTCTCTGATTTAGTATCTCCAGTTTAACTATTTTTATTGGACCATAATAAGATACTATACCATATTATCAGGTTGCATTTTATTAGATTAGGGGCAATTATAAATTATAAATTATATGAACAGGCAAATTGTGTGCATAACCTAATTATCGTGACGTAACCTATATAGCAACAACAAATGCGCATAAACATTAAACAATACCAAAAATGCGCATGTCTGCTCATCAATAAAATGACTGACTGTACGACGGTTAGAGATTTGTTATATTTTAGGTAACTTAGGTCCAATTTTTAATTTATGTTTTGGGCCCGGTTCGTCACTCGTTAGTGAACTGACTTCATATTATCTGATAACCTGGTATCTCTAATTTCTACAGTGACAATGATGTTGATAGTTCAGTTATTGATGATCCGAAATCTTCTCGCTTCGGCTACCAGTGGTAAGTAACAAAATAAATGTATTAGTGTAATGGCAGTTGTATTAGTGTAATGGCAGTTGTAATTAAGCGTACAGCAAGCTGATTATCATATTTTATTCGTTAATTTCAACAAAAATTTGCCAAAAGCCTGGAAATACAGAATATTTAGAGCGGCCCATGCAATTGTTATAATAGTATTAAACTTTGTTGTTATAGACCGAAAAGTTTGCAGGTCAGAATAAGAACTCTCAAAGCCTGACCAACTTTGCGTTGAACGAGTGAAACTTTAACAAAAACACTAACAAAGTTACAAAATCTTAAATCAAAACATAAGTACCACACCTCTAGATAACAACTTTTACTTACCGTAGGACTTTTCTCGTAAGTTATTCCCTTGGTCGCCTCCTGTCTAGCTGTGAGGAACTTAAGAAGAGGTAGCTCATTACCCTCACTGTCGTACAAGTGTTCTTTTGTAACCTCGTAACCATGGTAACTTGTGGAGGAGTTTAATCGTGGTGAACACGCCGCAACTCTGCTTCTTAGTGGGACTAATCTTCTCAGACCGCGTAAACATAACATAGTGGCTCCTTTTTGGGGACGTGAGATTATTTTCATTGTCATAAGGAAAACATTGAGATTAGTATCTTCAATCCCAGTGCGATTCTGAATACTTTCTAGAATTTAAGATAAGAGATCAGTTTGTCAATCGATTTCAAAGTTTCATGATAAGAATTAAAAACGGAAATTTGATGAAATATATAATAGGTTGTTTTATTTCAAATTTTTTTATAATTTATAAAACATTAAATACAAATAAGAAATAAATATCAAAGTAACTGGAGCCCGGAACAATTCAAGGCTTTAAGTCGTCTGACGGATAAAAATTGTAAAATGTTTGTTTATTACAAACTAATCACGATAGACTTTAAAAAGAAACGTTAGTAGATCCCTCCCTATACAAACTTTCAAAACATCGTCATCTGAGACTTCTAAGAAAAATATGGTCATATTCTGAACACAACAGCCATAGCAAACATGATCCACCCAAACCATGACAAGATGATAAATAATACCGTCCTCAACAATTCTACCCAGAAAATCATCCAAGACTGCATGTCATTAATAAATGATCCAGGTCATCTTGAGTCAAGTGACATTAAGAAATGATCCAGGTCATGTAAAGTCCAATAACATTAAGAAATGATCCAGGTCATGTTAAGTCCAGTAGGACCCAAGTTAACAGGACCCAACATACCATGCTGTTCCTCTCTCAGATAGTATAGCAATAAGATTAGAGTGTGGAACAGGTTGTTCCGTCCTTTACTGACCTGGGAATTACACTGTTAATTATACTGTTATGTTGAGAAACAAGAGCGTGCAAAATATTGATGAAACAGTAAACACACTAAGATTTAAGGTTCGCATCGTAAACCTGGTAAACCTTGTAAACCTCGTAAACCTGGTAACCCTTGTAAACCTTGTAAACTTTGTAAACCTTGTATTGCCACAATTCTTTCAATATCTTGTCAGAATTGGAGATGTTAAAGCTGGTAAACCTATTATCTTACCTCCCACACCTCATCCCCCACTAATAGTTTAAAGTGAGGTGGGTACACTATTATCTTACCTCCCACACCTCATCCCCCACTAATAGTTTAAAGTGAGGTGGGTACACTATTATCTTACCTCCCACACCTCATCCCCCACTAATAGTTTAAAGTGAGGTGGGTACACTATTATCTTACCTCCCACACCTCATCCCCCACTAATAGTTTAAAGTGAGGTGGGTAGACTATTATCTTACCTCCCACACCTCATCCCCCACTAATAGTTTAAAGTGAGGTGGGTACACTATTATCTTACCTCCCATACCTCATCCCCCACTAATAGTTTAAAGTGAGGTGGGTACACTATTATCTTACCTCCCACACCTCATCCCCCACTAATAGTTTAAAGTGAGGTGGGTACACTATTATCTTACCTCCCACACCTCATCCCCCACTAATAGTTTAAAGTGAGGTGGGTACACTATTATCTTACCTCCCACACCTCATCCCCCACTAATAGTTTAAAGTGAGGTGGGTACACTATTATCTTACCTCCCACACCTCATCCCCCACTAATAGTTTAAAGTGAGGTGGGTACACTATTATCTTACCTCCCACACCTCATCCCCCACTAATAGTTTAAAGTGAGGTGGGTACACTATTATCTTACCTCCCACACCTCATCCCCCACTAATAGTTTAAAGTGAGGTGGGTACACTATTATCTTACCTCCCACACCTCATCCCCCACTAATAGTTTAAAGTGAGGTGGGTACACTATTATCTTACCTCCCACACCTCATCCCCCACTAATAGTTTAAAGTGAGGTGGGTACACTATTATCTTACCTCCCTCACCTCATCCCCCACTAATAGTTTAAAGTGAGGTGGGTACACTATTATCTTACCTCCCACACCTCATCCCCCACTAATAGTTTAAAGTGAGGTGGGTACACTATTATCTTACCTCCCACACCTCATCCCCCACTAATAGTTTAAAGTGAGGTGGGTGAATAGACGACTGGAACAGAGCGTACTCCTTCTTCTTGGTTTCCGCTTTGATGGGTGTCTGGACAAAGTACTGTGTCGTGAAGGTACGGCCCTGAACATATTGTGGTCATGTCAACTTCCAAGGGGTCGTCTGACGTCTTAGTGACATACAGATAACACGGTTTATAGTTTATATACAGTTTATATAGTTTATAGTTTAGTTAGATTCGTAGAATGTTAGTCAAGATAAACATTATGTTGTTTTACAGAAATTATTCAGTGGATCATATGTTCAATCAGTGATTAACAACAAAATAGCCCCAAAATAAATAAAGTCAGTAAATTAGGAAACCTCTGGGTACATAGGGTTTCTGGGGAGGTGAGAGTCGAGGTAGGTAGAGATACAGTGCATAACTATCTGGGAGTCAGTTGGTAACTCCTTGTTCCAGAGGCTGTTCTTGTACTTTCCACCTGATTCCCACCGAAAACTCCCTGGTTAGTGATCTGTCAGTTAGATGAAGAGTAAAAATCTGCTGTTATCTGACAAATTTGCTTAAAAGCCTCGGATTCTTAAGTGGTTTTCAGCACTTTTGCCAGAAAAGGGCAGAAATGTGCGGTATATAAAGATAATAACATGGATACAATAACAAGCTGAATATTCCATCAAGAACCTACCAACACAGACAGTAACATGGATACAATAACAAGCTGAATATTCCATCAAGAACCTACCAACACAGACAGTAATATGGATACAATAACAAGCTGAATATTCCATCAAGAACCTACCAACACAGACAGTAACATGGATACAATAACAAGCTGAATATTCCATAAAGAACCTACCAACACAGACAGTAACATGGATACAATAACAAGCTGAATATTCCATAAAGAACCTACCAACACAGACAGTAACATGGATATAATAACAAGCTGAATATTCCATCAAGAACCTACCAACACAGACAGTAACATGGATACAATAACAAGCTGAATATTCCATCAAGAACCTACCAACACAGACAGTAACATGGATACAATAACAAGCTGAATATTCCATCAAGAACCTACCAACACAGACAGTAACATGGATACAATAACAAGCTGAATATTCCATCAAGAACCTACCAACACAGACAGTAACATGGATACAATAACAAGCTGAATATTCCATCAAGAACCTACCAACACAGACAGTAACATGGATACAATAACAGGCAGAATATTCCATCAAGAACCTACCAACACAGACAGTAACATGGATACAATAACAGGCAGAATATTCCATCAAGAACCTACCAACACAGACAGTAACATGGATACAATAACAAGCTGAATATTCCATCAAGAACCTACCAACACAGACAGTAACATGGATATAATAACAAGCTGAATATTCCATCAAGAACCTACCAACACAGACAGTAACATGGATACAATAACAAGCTGAATATTCCATCAAGAACCTACCAACACAGACAGTAACATGGATACAATAACAAGCTGAATATTCCATCAAGAACCTACCAACACAGACAGTAACATGGATACAATAACAAGCTGAATATTCCATCAAGAACCTACCAACACAGACAGTAACATGGATACAATAACAAGCTGAATATTCCATCAAGAACCTACCAACACAGACAGTAACATGGATACAATAACAAGCTGAATATTCCATCAAGAACCTACCAACACAGACAGTAACATGGATATAATAACAAGCTGAATATTCCATCAAGAACCTACCAACACAGACAGTAACATGGATACAATAACAAACTGAATATTCCATCAAGAACCTACCAACACAGACAGTAACATGGATATAATAACAAGCTGAATATTCCATCAAGAACCTACCAACACAGACAGTAACATGGATACAATAACAAGCTGAAAATTCCATCAAGAACCTACCAACACAGACAGTAACATGGATACAATAACAAGCTGAATATTCCATAAAGAACCTACCAACACAGACAGTAACATGGATACAATAACAAGCTGAATATTCCATCAAGAACCTACCAACACAGACAGTAACATGGATACAATAACAAGCTGAATATTCCATCAAGAACCTACCAACACAGACAGTAACATGGATACAATAACAAGCTGAATATTCCATCAAGAACCTACCAACACAGACAGTAACATGGATACAATAACAAGCTGAATATTCCATCAAGAACCTACCAACACAGACAGTAACATGGATACAATAACAAGCTGAATATTCCATCAAGAACCTACCAACACAGACAGTAACATGGATACAATAACAAGCTGAATATTCCATCAAGAACCTACCAACACAGACAGTAACATGGATACAATAACAAGCTGAATATTCCATCAAGAACCTACCAACACAGACAGTAACATGGATACAATAACAAGCTGAATATTCCATCAAGAACCTACCAACACAGACAGTAACATGGATACAATAACAAGCTGAATATTCCATCAAGAACCTACCAACACAGACAGTAACATGGATACAATAACAAGCTGAATATTCCATCAAGAACCTACCAACACAGACAGTAACATGGATACAATAACAAGCTGAATATTCCATCAAGAACCTACCAACACAGACAGTAACATGGATACAATAACAAGCTGAATATTCCATCAAGAACCTACCAACACAGACAGTAACATGGATACAATAACAAGCTGAATATTCCATCAAGAACCTACCAACACAGACAGTAACATGGATATAATAACAAGCTGAATATTCCATCAAGAACCTACCAACACAGACAGTAACATGGATACAATAACAAGCTGAATATTCCATCAAGAACCTACCAACACAGACAGTAACATGGATACAATAACAAGCTGAATATTCCATCAAGAACCTACCAACACAGACAGTAACATGGATACAATAACAAGCTGAATATTCCATCAAGAACCTACCAACACAGACAGTAACATGGATACAATAACAAGCTGAATATTCCATCAAGAACCTACCAACACAGACAGTAACATGGATACAATAACAAGCTGAATATTCCATCAAGAACCTACCAACACAGACAGTAACATGGATACAATAACAAGCTGAATATTCCATCAAGAACCTACCAACACAGACAGTAACATGGATACAATAACAAGCTGAATATTCCATCAAGAACCTACCAACACAGACAGTAACATGGATACAATAACAAGCTGAATATTCCATCAAGAACCTACCAACACAGACAGTAACATGGATACAATAACAAGCTGAATATTCCATCAAGAACCTACCAACACAGACAGTAACATGGATACAATAACAAGCTGAATATTCCATCAAGAACCTACCAACACAGACAGTAACATGGATATAATAAAAAGCTGAATATTCCATCAAGAACCTACCAACACAGACAGTAACATGGATACAATAACAAGCTGAATATTCCATCAAGAACCTACCAACACAGACAGTAACATGGATACAATAACAAGCTGAATATTCCATCAAGAACCTACCAACACAGACAGTAACATGGATAGAATAAAAAGCTGAATATTCCATCAAGAACCTACCAACACAGAAAGTAACATGGATACAATAAAAAGCTGAATATTCCATCAAGAACCTACCAACACAGACAGTAACATGGATACAATAACAAGCTGAATATTCCATCAAGAACCTACCAACACAGACAGTAACATGGATACAATAACAAGCTGAATATTCCATCAAGAACCTACCAACACAGACAGTAACATGGATACAATAACAAGCTGAATATTCCATCAAGAACCTACCAACACAGACAGTAACATGGATACAATAACAAGCTGAATATTCCATCAAGAACCTACCAACACAGACAGTAACATGGATACAATAAAAAGCTGAATATTCCATCAAGAACCTACCAACACAGACAGTAACATGGATACAATAACAAGCTGAATATTCCATCAAGAACCTACCAACACAGACAGTAACATGGATATAATAACAAGCTGAATATTCCATCAAGAACCTACCAACACAGACAGTAACATGGATACAATAACAAGCTGAATATTCCATAAAGAACCTACCAACACAGACAGTAACATGGATACAATAACAAGCTGAATATTCCATAAAGAACCTACCAACACAGACAATAACATGGATACAATAACAAGCTGAATATTCCATCAAGAACCTACCAACACAGACAGTAACATGGATACAATAAAAAGCTGAATATCCCATCAAGAACCTACCAACACAGCTCCCACTAGCTAGTTCCCCCATCCTGTGCACCAGATACTCCTGGTTCACACTGACCTCCAAGTACGGTAACAGCAATGCTGAAGAAAGGTCTTGTTATGGATGATACATGCTATTAATAAGGTTACTGGTATACTTTGGTAACTGAGTCACACTGGGTACGTTTCTTTCAAACTACTTAACTATAGTCGGATATCCGATCAATTTCTAAATTTTATCAGAGTGAAATTGAGTGGAATTTGAATTAAAATATTGTCAAATTGTTATCATTCTAGAGGGTACCTGTCACCAAGATGTAACTAGGTCGAACGGAGAAATGAGGTCTCACGCAGGAATTAGGTCTCACGCAGGCACGTGATATATATATAAATACACTTAAAAGCCGCGCCTGCTTGAGACCTAATTCCTGCGTGAGACCTAATTTTTCCGTTCGATCTAGTTACATCTTGGTGACAGTAAATAATAAAATTTTATTACATAATCAACAACCAAACTTTTCTAAAGTAATAATATGCTTGATATATATTTAGTGCAGGCGAATATCGATATATTCGCAGCGCTTCTTTGGCTCAAAGTTTCAGTCCTTTGAAGGAGCAGCTTATATTCTCTGGCTATTGTTAATTTTTGTAGCTATTTAGGTATAGCTATTGTTTATTGCTTTACAGAATAGAGTCGTATAAGGTCAAATTATTTTTCAAAGAAATAATATGCCTGATTTGCATTTAATGATGACGAATCTCGATATATTCGCAGCGCTTCTTTGAGTTTGACCTTTTGAATACGTTGAAAGAGCAGCTTATAATTTCTCGCTGCATCACGTGATCGTCGCAATAACGTGACATAATCCAATGGAAAAATATTTAAGCACATGTACGTATACTCTACAATCTAAAATATTGTTATTTCCTGATTTTTGCTACGTTGAACAGGGTTAAACGACATGGGCAAATTACACGTCTTACTCTCAGTAGTGACCATTCTAGGGCTCCTCTCAGAGACTGGTGGGCAGTGTAAGTCCTCCGATAAAGCTTTAAGCAGGAAGAAGAAGATCCTTGCGAAATGCCTTAAACAAGGATATCAATCATCTCTCGAAGGATGCGTTTCAGACAATGGAGAGCAAAAGTCCAAACAAGCAAAGAGATGCAAAAAGGCGGAGAAGCTCCTGGCATCTTCTGACGTTTCCTGTGTGGATAAGGTGGATGGCGGATATGGTCCCTTCGGAGAATGGAGTGCTTGCTCGGTGGCATGCGGAACTGGCGTTCAGTCAAGGACAAGGGAATGTAACGATCCTGCTCCATCAGGTATAGGCGGAGATTGCGTTGGAAAAGCACGTGAAGTTCGAGCTTGTAACAAAGATACCTGCCCTGTGGATGGTGGGTGGGGGCCCCCTGGAGAGTGGTCAGCTTGCACAGCGGAATGTGGAGGTATAAGTGGCACTCGGTACAGATCAAGGAATTGCGACAACCCTTCGCCAAAAGAAGGCGGATCGGATTGCCCTGGAGTAGCCACTGAAATTCAAGCTTGTAGTTACACAAATGCCTGCCAAAAGATTTGCACCCAACAGTATATTGGTTGCTGGAGGGACAATAAAATCAGAGCCATTACCGGTGGAGTCAGACTGAACGGTGACGTGGAACAATGCAGGGCATATACTCAGTCTCGTGGGTACCACGTATTTGCTGTTCAGTACCACTCTGAATGTTTTACCTCTTCAGATGCTCACGAAACATTTGACCAGTATGGAAGAGCAAATGACTGCATCAACGGCAAAGGAGGAGACTGGGCCAACGACGTGTACCAGATCAACTGTGTTGAAGTGTAACACGAAGTGAGGGCTACTGGAGGGAGACTGGAGGGAGACTGGAGGGAGACTGGAGGGAGACTGGAGGAAGACTGGAGGGAGACTGGAGGGAGACTGGAGGGAGACTGGAGGGAGACTGGAGGGAGACTGGAGGGAGACTGGAGGTATACTGGAGGGAGACTGGAGGGAGACTGGAGGGAGACTGGAGGGAGACTGGAGGGAGACTGGAGGGAGACTGGAGGGAGACTGGAGGGAGACTGGAGGGAGACTGGAGGGAGACTGGACGGAGACTGGAGGGAGACTGGAGGGAGACTGGACGGAGACTGGACGGAGACTGGACGGAGACTGGACGGAACTGGACGGAGACTGGACGGAGACTGGTAACAGAGCTGGTGGGATCAGACTCAGTAGTTCCGTGGATCAATACCGGGCATTCACTGCACTGGCTAATGGCTGGACCACCTTTGGTGTACAGTACTGCTCTGAATGTTTCACTGCTGCCAATGCTAGTGACACATGCCGGATGTACGGTTCAGCATGTAACTGCTCTGGCGGCAGAGGCTGGCCCAACAACGTCTTACAAATAGGGTGCTAATCCTCACACTCAAGAAGATGGACGATAAATATGGAGACAAGGGGAGCTGGACAATAGTTAAAACAGTCACATGACTGTGAATTGAATACGAAGATGGAATACAAACTTGATCAATTTGCATGCTTTGAACTTAAAAGAATTCAGAGAAAATATCAAGAATATCAAGAATACGTTATTTTCAATTACCACTTTTGAAAAGACTTGACTATCTATTTTACAATTTCTTGTAAGTTAGTTTGATGATTATTTATTGATGGTTTTTCCCAACGGCACACTTTATAGAAAATAATTACTTGTGAGCTTGTAGAATAAACTAAATCAAAGTTCATGAAATTATAAAATCCAACATAGGAGTTGGGTGGTTTGCACTTTAGTAGAATATAGTTTTCTCATGTTTCTCCAAAAATGAGTCCCTTAGTCTCTACGCCGTTCAGAAGCTGATTGGTTGTCGAGGGTTTAAACACAAAAGACAAATTTTCCTCCGAAATATTTTTGAAGTAGAGGCCCTAGCAACTTAGCAAGCTTCTAAACCCGTTAAGTTGTGTCGGGTTTTAACCAGATACACGATCATCTTGATCCGGAGCCTCGCTGATTTGGAAAGTCTTTGAAAACTTCTGTTACAGGCAAGATACCGAGTTAATCTTACAAGAAGTAAATATTTACTTAGTACTTACACTTACTTAGTACTTATTAGTTTTAATTGGAAGATAATTAATGTTTATAGAAAAACTAAGATGTAAATGACAAGGTTGGAGGCATATATTGGAATATTAGGACAACACGCTCTTACTTTGTGCATATTTATTTCCACAACATGTTTCATTCGTCTGGGAGCTCAACCTGCAAGCGAGATGGTACTCCTCTTTAGCATCTTCAACTTTCTTGGTGAGCTCATGATCTCATTATATGCGCCTTGAACCCTGTCCTGAATTCGTCCTAGCATTTTAAGAAACGGACTGTTATACGCCATACCAGCATGTGCTTGTTTGAGTTTCGACCAAGCTGCTATAAACTAGACTAACACTCACTTACCAACAGACTAGAGACCACTAGTTTAGATAAACGACCACGCTCTAAACTAATAATGTAGAGCGTGGTTGGTCTCAGAACATAAACAACGCTCAGCAGTATTACTCAGTAGGACAGTGTTTGAGGCTTCACTAATACTAGTGAGTACTGACCCTGATAACAGAGCCCATCTAGACTATGTCTAGACAAGTTCATTATGTCGTCTGGTGCCCCGTCTCCATCACCCTGGAATCTCTGGAAATAGGAAAGCTAAGGATTGGCTCTCGTAAACCCGTGTCACGTACTTGCCTATAAGAATCACAGTCGTTGCCGTGAATCATCACATTTATTTTTAACCGTTTGCTTTCGAGTAACAGCTCTTGTGTAGCTAATCCTTTGACTCAACGGAGAAATCTACGTGAACACCGCTATTTATTGACAAGATGAAGTTAAATAAGGTTCTCAAATATTGCATGATTGTTGGCTCCAAGGGTATCATGACAATCTTGGTCATGACTATCTTCCTAAAGGGGATATCAGCTGAAGGCATTGTTCTTGACCTTGATAACACAGATAGCAAAGGTAGGCTAAGAACAAGGATAAGATCGATGTGAATTTATCAATAGGCAATTCATTATAATACCATAATACCTCGTTTATTGAGTGCTGCGCGCGATAATGCCCGAACGTATGTGAATACTACTACGAGCTCGTAGCACGAAATTAAGCCAAGGCGTGATTTGCGACTCAATAAGCGTTTGATAATATGCCATGAAGACTCGCATACAATAAACACTGTTTAAAGCAGCTCATCTTTCAGATGAAGTTGTTCAAGTTCAATTTCCTGAGACGCATTCCCACGTATTCTACAATGGAGATTACTGTTGTAAACATAACAGAGAGAGAACAGATGGTGGTGTTGGGTGTGACGGTAGTGTGCTTTACAGAGACGACAGTATTTGCTGCCTTAATATGGATCAGATCTTCTGTCCAGATCGGCCAACAAAGTGCCAGAGTTACGGAGGTAGGTGATATTTTATTAAGTAGCCCCCTCCCCTCCCCTAAGTTACACATCTTTCAGTATTAGCGTCAATAGCAGTTGCAATGTTTCACTTCATACTACTAATGTAAAGTGCACAGCTTTAGTGTCTACATTGAATGTTGCAAAGCTTAAATGCGCATCAATGTTTTAAAAGCATTATAATTGTAAGGAAAAGTTACAAATCGTGATTTTCAACAAATTTACAAAATTAATCGCTTTAAATAATCTTCATTGAATCACGAGAATGTCTAAGTAGCTCAATCGGACATTTTTGTGACCTCGCACGAATAGACCTATAACATGTATAATGTATATTGTACAACTGCGTCCTAATATTGTATAAGCTAACATGTTGCTATCATTTTATAGGCTGGATAACAGTAAAACCAGGTGCAGACCTCGTCCACGACCTGGAAACTACTCCACTAGAAATTAAGACAGATTCTTTAACAAGTCGAGACGAAAAAGTGGTTGTTACAGGGGTAGATTCAAGTGGTAGTCTCATTTTCGAACTCGGCATCTTTTTCAATCAAAAAATTCCACAGTAAAACCTGTTAAATTGCATTAAATTACATGCTAAATTCTCGACGGCACCTTCCACCGCTGTAGACAAGGTGTGGAAGATAACCTTGTCCAGAATTCCAAATATCCGACTAAAGATAGACTGTAATGGAGAAGAAGTTACAAACATCCTTATCAATGCTAAAGATTGTGCGGATTGGAATAAAATCGTCCACAAAATAAAATTCGAAGTAAGGGATACAGCATCCGATCACTACAGATCTGCTCCAGGTATAAATCGATATTAGTCTAGTAAAGTTGATATAGGGATGTAAACCTTAGTTGCGGTATCTTATATGTGTGTTTTTGAGGAGCATGCTTTTTCCTGCTAGCACAGGACGACAACTTAAACGATAATGGCGATTCATATTAATATATATAATAAGGAATCCTTATTATGAATTTCCTTATTAAGGATAGGATCAAGTCTCTGTATTTTAGTTACATTCAATGTAAATATTAACACAATATGTCCACATCAGTCGAATGCACTGCACTAAAGGATGAGTGGATAAATACGATGGAATACGATACAACAAAGTTTCCAGTAGTCGCAGAAACAGTTCTGGAAGTCACGTGTTCTGACACAGGAGCTATCAAGAAAGGGAGCAGCAAAGTGACCTGTATTATGGGAACTGAATTCTCTTACTCGGACGAACCAAGTAGTTCAAGACCAGGTATGAGGTAGAGTTACGAAAAAAAATGCTTTAGAAGAGGAATGCGAAAAGAACATTATCCATGATATATATATTTATAATAATGTGTTAATAAAGTTTTGGACTTTATTGAAACAAAATTTTAATAAAACAAATCCCTTCCTCGTGCCATCCCCCTCCTCCCCCACCTCCCCCATCTCCCCCACCTCCCCCACCTCCCCCTCCTCCCCCTCCTCCTCCACCTCCCCCACCTCCCCCACCTCCCCTCCTCCCCCACCTCCCCCACCTCTCCCACCTCCCCCACCTCCCCCACCTCCCCCACCTCCCCCTCCTCCCCCTCCTCCCCCACCTCCCCCACCTCCCTTCGCCATTCCCTTTTCGTGGTAATACTGACACCAACAGTTCCCAACAGTCTACGGACCAATACCATATATGGATGACTATTAACTAAGATATCAATATGTTAAGTATATATTGCAGATATTGTAACGCCTGATTCAACTTCAAAATGGTGGACCCTCGATATTAGAATCCAGCTGATCAGGATAAGACGCTTGTTATTTTTGAAAAATTAGATTTATAGATAGGACAGGCTTAGAAGTAATGGGGCCAGTGGTCTTCTTATATTTTTTGAGAATTTATTGTTCATATTTTGTCTGATTTTGATGATTGATCGCGATAGGTAAGATTTCATAGGAATGTAAATGTAAATAATTGTTTCAGATTATAAAGAAATTAGTCGGTTCAAAGCCAAGACTTGCTGAGACGAACCATAGGACGACTCGGACTACATGTTACACACAGAAATCACTGAAAATCCAGAAAACTTATTGTTCAGGTTTTATTTCATATTAAAGTTTTTTTTTTCAGTGAAATTAGTAAGTAAGTTGCACTGTTTAATATTTGCTGCCATAAAAACCACAAACAAATTGAAAACCTCAGATAACACTTTTATAACTGAACTAATTTCAGATTTCAGAACCGGTCACTGAGAGCTCTGATTCTTTGTAGGGGGCTGTGATGAAGAGATTAACGGACACTTGGATCATAACCAACATGGTGCTTGAGAACAATTGGTTATCAAGTTTTAATAAATGATTACTCTTTAGTTATTTAGAGAACAATTAGGTGTATTGATGCTTTTCATACGAACAAGTAAAAACAAATTCTTTATGTCGTGCATCCTGGGCCGGGTTTGGACAGGATATGCTCGCTTAAAATACTTCCATCGCGTTACATTACATAATTCTCAATAAATGTAATAGATTTGTAGTGTTGTAATTAGTTTAGTATATTTGTAAATTTGTTTCATTTTTAGTTATTTAGAGAATAATCAGTTATAAAGTTTTAACATTTTACTCTTTAAGTTAAGTTATTTAGAGAACAATTGGGAATAACTTTTTTAAATATTTTCTTCTTGTGAATATTGTTAATGATATTGTAATTACATTGACATAACATTGCGTTTATGCAATATGCATTGTTTTTTTTGTCCACATTTTATTAAAGTACAAAAATAACGCATTTCTTCAACAATGTGGTAATTTTGATAAGGTCTCAAAGAACTGCAAAATACCATTGATTTTCGTGTCTAACCCTAAACTTGCCACGAACAACATTATAGCTTATTGCTCGGATAAATCCCGGAATAGAAGATAGAGGATAAGATTAATTAATATCGCAGGAAGACTAGGTCTAATTGAAAGTGTGATAAGCTAATAAAATTCTTTTTGTCGCAGGAAATAAACAAAACAATCCTTTCCTCGTTCACATATCACATTACAGTAAACCTATTCCACTAACCAATATTGCTGATGTGTTCGTGTTTACACTAAAACACTACAGTAAACCTATTCCACTAACCTATACTGCTGATGTGTTCGTGTTTACACTAAAACACTACAGTAAACCTAGTCCACTAACCTATACTGCTGATGTGTTCGTGTTTACACTAAAACACTACAGTAAACCTAGTCCACTAACCAATATTGCTGATGTGTTCGTGTTTAGTGGTGGAGACCTTGCTGAGGACCGCTGTGCTGACTGACCCTATCTTACACTCCGCTGATCCCACCTGGTCTAGTGTTTTGTTTATTGTCTTTATCTCCCGGTGTATGTGCTGAGAGAGAGAAGGAGTGAGAATAGTGAGAGAGAGGAGAAGAGATGAGGTGGTCAACAACAATTAACGTCGACTACGTTTTAATTATTGATTTCCAAACAAGCAGCAGAAGTGTGTTTACGTTATATAATGTGAACGGTCCATTGGACAAAAATTCAGTTGATAGAAATATATCCTTGTTCAGATTAGATAAATAATCAATAATCATGCAACTCAGACCTGGAATATCGTCTGCGAGATCCACTTCCGAATATTCTCGGTCCAAACATCAAGACTATGGGGGGAGACACCCAACCTCTCCAAGAGAGCATCAGCTGCCTGCTGGTTGTAATAGCTGGTGTCCCCTGACACAGACACTATCTGGTTCTGGGTAGCTAGAAAGTAGGGTCGGGGTGGCAAGGTCTCTGTGGGTCGTGGAGCCCACCCTCCCGCCAGACTCCTGTCAGAACTACCACGTGACAGCCACTTCTCCTTCTCCTCGTACTCCTTCAGGTACTCAGATAAATTGTTCAGGTCGGAGACTCTCTTTCGGATTTTAGGAGAGGCCGAGAAGTGGTAGTTGCTGTCCCCGTCTCGAGCTGGTGTTGAGAAACTGGAAAAGGTAGTTAGATGTTAGTCACAAGTACCTTACATAATCCACCTTAACTGGAGGAATTTTAACAACAGAAATAATGAAATCGAAAACCACAGAAAACAGGAGATCGTATAAAATATACCTCATATTAGTGTTATTATCATAATAGTTATATACCTCATATTGGAGCTGATAGAATGGAATGAGGAGTTAGACTGGAAGGAGGTGCTGAGAGTCATGTTGGAAGTGCTGAGAGTCATGTTGGAGTTAGGGTTGAGAGAGGTGGAGAGAGGAGGAGTGAAGGGTTCCCTGGTCGGTTGGTTGGAGACGAGTAAATGCGGGGTTACTGGAGCACTGTGACACGAGTTGTGCTCAGGAGAGGAGAGCATACTCGTGTTAATCGCTTTGTTGGGAGTGTTCTCTGAAAAACAGTCGTTTGTGAATTAGGTTCTCATTATCTTTTACCTTTTTTAGACTGAACGTAAAGATGAAAATTCTGAAGATCAAATAATGTAAAATAAAGTTACGAAAATAAAGTAATGTTCACGACAGTACAATTAGGAAGTGTCCGTTATACAAGAATTTTACCACGCAAGAGCAATCTACCCGGCCTTACCATATACCAGTAAGTGTCAGCTAAATCTCTGTACTCACCGCATATTTTAACAACAGGTCGAGCTAAAGATCTAATATTAAGAAGGAGAGATTGAGTAGGGGAGAGAGCAGTGAGATCCTCTTTAAACTTGCGGCTGCTGACGTAGGTGATGACGTCACATATTGCTGACACTCCACACACAACTGACAGTGAGATCTGGTGGAGATATTGTGAAGTAATAGAAAATACAAATTATAGACCTGTTCCTGATAGAAATTTTTTCACTAAACTTAATGATATTAAGTCTTAACAAATACTTAACATATTTTAAAGCAACATATATAATAATTGGGAATATTGTTCCAGCTCATGATCTCTCAAATTGAATATTTTACATCATCGTATCTCACGATTCCCATAAAATGCTGCTCGCTAACTTTCACTACGAAAAATATAAAGATAAAAACAAACCTCGAGATATTGCCCATACAAAATATGATCAGGAGATAGTTCTACGATTGAGGAGATGAAGTAACCGCCGAGTCGTAGAGCGAATACCACACACAGGACCGTATTTATACCGCACCATTTCAGTGCCTCGTCCCCGGCTATTAGCTGTGAGGTATAGTATACTTATAGCAATTACGATACTCATGAAATTTATTTTTTCGCTATGTTTAAACTTTCCACACTATTATTTCAGGCATAAAATTGAACACACAAAAAGTAGATCACTTAATAACTTCTACATTCTTTGCAATGATGATATATACAATAAATAAAAGAAAAACTTACCTTATATTTAGCTTTGATACTTTTTTCAACAAGCGGAGTTTGAAATGTCGCTGTGGGCATTCTATTCAACTAAGTAAAGGTTAATTAGTTAATTAGTTAATTAGTTAATTAGTTAATTAGTTAATTAGTTAATTAGTTAATTAGTTAATTAGTTTATAAGTTAATTAGTTAATAAGTTAATTAGTCAATAAGTTAATTATTTAATACGTTAATTATTTAGTTGGGGTAGTTAGTCTTTTAATATTTCAACATCGCAATTCTCTCTAGGTACATTTACACTGAGTACTTTTAGCATAATGGGATAGCACATTAGTGCGCCGGACATGAAAGTAAACTTAATGAATCCCAGGTAATGGTTGTGTGTGCTGATTTGTTTGTTGGTGAGTAGCGTTAAGTGTTTGTTGGTAAATTGTGTTAGTGAGATTGAAGCGGAATTCCGTTGCCTGGTTACCATGGAATCGCCTATTACAGCAGGGTTCTCTTTCGAAGGAGCGTCCAGAAGAGCTAAACTAAGGTTAATATTACTTTATTTCAGTTTCCTCAGTCGACCCTAGCGATATAAGTTTATGTTGAAATATGTATGTATGTCTTTGATAATTCTCTGAGTGGCTATTTAAGACTTTGCCATCCGGTTCTTAAATTATTAGGTTGAACAATATGTACCGGATTAGGTTGAACAATATGTAACGGATTGAGTGCCGTAAGAAGCCTATGTTCAGGGAAACCCCTCGAACATTCTGATAAAGATAAAATTGAAAAGTTTATATATTTTCAGTGACAAGAGGTCCTTGCTCAGTATTCACAACATACCTCTTCCAGCCCTTGCTATAACACTTGCTTTCTTCGCTGCTATCATTCTTTTTAACATATAACTGGGATCAGCAAGTTTGTCTGATATAATTTGAACAATCTGACCCTCCCAGATGAACTTTAAATTGAAACATTGAATCTAATCTGTTTTTAGAATCGAACTTTTCGTATACTTAACTTAATTAGTTGTTTGGGGATATTCAAATGTTCATCATTGTCATATAATAAATCTTTAAAAACTATGTCCGCTTACGATAACCGGTGTACCCATTATAGTAGACTAACCTCAACCCACGAACAAAGTTCCTGTTTATTTCCCACTGTTAATTGGTCTAATCACTGTAATGATGGTGTTAATTGTTAATTAACACACACAGAATCGGAACTAAAGACGTCGTGCCGGCACACAAGTCGTATTTTTTTCCTTGGCCGGCTAGACTGGGTACACCAGGATATTAAACTGCTAACCAATACCAATTAGACAATTATTACAATGTTCATTATTATAATGAATACCAATGTTTTTGTTTGTCTCGAGTGTTTTTGAATCTGTTGGAGAAGAAGCGCCGTGAGCGGGTTTCTACCAATGGCGGGAGGTTACTGGTGGGTCATAGGGGTCATCCTGATCATCTACATCGCGAACAAGGTTACCATGATGATCAGGAGGTACCGGGCCATGCCTGATGTAGGGGAAGACCGGATTAAGGCAGACAAGGAACTCAAGAAGAGAATCAAGAACATGACCTATAGTTCGTGTTGTTAGTCATTGTTTGCTTTTCAGGACTATTCAAATGTGTTCGAGCTTTCTTTAGCAGCTAACCAGTGACCATGCTTTATGAACATTCCTGGACTCTGTGAGACTTATTAAAACAAAGTATTTTGTCGTGATCTAACTTTTCTTCCTATTAATATTTGGGGATATTCAAATATTTAGCATTGACAGATGATGAATAACATGATTATATATATTTATACTTCTCAAGATGATAAATCTTTAAAAATTATGTCTGTTTTTATACGATTATATATATGTTATAGCCGATGTACCAATTACTGCAGACTAATTTTAAGCAATGACCCATGTTTCTGTTTAGTCACCTCCAACAATTGGCCTAATTACTGTAAGGATGATGTTAACAGTTAATGAAGATAACCAGGGCGGGTACTAAAGCCGTCTTGCTGTGTCCTTGTTCTGAGGCTACACCAGGATATACACTACTCAACAGTTAACCATTATCAATTAGACAGTACTCATTAGACTGGCGACCTCAGCAAAAGTACCTTTGAATCCGTACCAAAGAAGCAAACCGAGCGGAGTTCTCCAAATGGCAGGCAGGTGTTCATACCACGTGTTTCTGACCACGTGGTTCAGTTGTGTAATCTCCGGCCGGTTAAAGCTGGTAATAGCTCATTATACACACAAGCAGTAGCAGTGGGTTTGATCTGTACACTCTGACCGTTGTGATCTTGTTTTAACGTTATGCTCTGAAGCGGGGGAGGTTGTGTCTGGGCAGTGTTTATTAATGCCACAAGCAGGGTTACTCTCGTTTGTTTTGTTCCATTTGTTAGTGTCAGTACCAGGAGAACCACAACACGAGGGCAAAAAGGTGGACAACAAGTTCCACGAGGGAGGAGATGAAGCAGACCCTCATGAAGTAGACTGGGCTGATAAGAAGGCGACCAGTAACCACCTGGTTCATAGCAATAAATGGGGCAGAGACCCTGAGGTACTGATACTATTCAACTTAATAGTTACCATCTCCCAGTTATATTATGAATCTTAAATTATTATCACTTGATCTAAAAAAAGAACTGTTAGTTGTGTTATTGAGTAGTAAGATCACGTGTTATTGTTCAGTTGTGTTATTGAGTAGTAAGATCACGTGTTACTGTTCAGTTGTGTTATTGAGTAGTAAGATCACGTGTTACTGTTCAGTTGTGTTATTGAGTAGTAAGATCACATGTTATTAATGTTCAGTTGTTTTATTGAGTAGTAGGATCACGTGTTACTGTTCAGTTGTGTTATTGAGTAGTAAGATCACGTGTTACTGTTAGTTGTGTTATTGAGTAGTAAGATCACGTGTTACTGTTCAGTTGTGTTATTGAGTAGTAAGATCACATGTTATTAATGTTCAGTTGTGTTATTGAGTAGTAGGATCACGTGTTACTGTTCAGTTGTGTTATTGAGTAGTAAGATCACGTGTTATTCATCAGTTGTGTTATTGAGTAGTAAGTGTTACTGTTCAGTTGTGTTATTGAGTAGTAGGATCACGTGTTACTTTTCAGTTGTGTTATAAGTTATTGAGTAGTAAGATCACGTGTTACTGTTCAGTTGTGTTATTGAGTAGTAAGATCACGTGTTACTGTTAGTTGTGTTATTGAGTAGTAAGATCACGTGTTACTGTTCAGTTGTGTTATTGAGTAGTAAGATCACGTGTTATTGTTCAGTTGTGTTATTGAGTAGTAAGATCACGTGTTACTGTTCAGTTCTTCAGTTGTGTTATTGAGTAGTAAGATCACGTGTTACTGTTAGTTGTGTTATTGAGTAGTAAGATCACGTGTTACTGTTCAGTTGTGTTATTGAGTAGTAAGATCACGTGTTATTGTTCAGTTGTGTTATTGAGTAGTAAGATCACGTGTTACTGTTCAGTTCTTCAGTTGTGTTATTGAGTAGTAAGATCACGTGTTATTGTTCAGTTGTGTTATTGAGTAGTAAGATCACGTGTTACTGTTCAGTTGTGTTATTGAGTAGTAAGATCACGTGTTACTGTTCAGTTGTGTGAAGAGTTTTTCCTGAACGGAGCTCCGGGCCAGTGCCAGGAGCAAGACACGTGTTGTGGCCTGCTCAACTACACTCAGACTGCCTTCACTGTTCAGATATACTGCTGTCACGACAATGAGAAGTTAGTAAACTTTACATTTACAGAAAGTAGAACAAATCCTCCAACTAAAACAACTTTAATTATAGAAGAATGTTCTGAAGAAACCCCTCCTAGATCAATAACAAGTGTTTTACAGGTGCTGCCAAGGACTGTGCTGTGATGAGAACACAGTTTGCTGTAGAGACAGAGTAGATAAAGAGAAGAGAAGCTCGGGGTACGGACAGTGCTGCAACAAGGCCAGGTAATCATCCTCACGCACAACAACATTCCGGTATAGAAGCATCATTTAATTGCGGCAAAAACTCGCAAATAATACGATCTCGCAACTTTTCTTATTTTTAAATTGCGCAAAGGAATAAAGAAAATACACAGCAAATTGAGCAAATCCGCAACCGCCGCAACAAAATGGTGCCTCTGAACATAAGCCCTGCACACACATAAATACATCTCCAACCCCATCTCCGACTGACTACCCCAGACGGCCCGGCTGATCAGGATTATATCACGTGGTTTAGATTTGTCTGCAGAAACCAGACACTATAAATAGCCTGAAATAGCCAGAAAACTGGTAACCCAGTCTTGAGAGCCTTGCTAGCCCGGATACCGGCTCATTATACCTTATCTGACAACATGTTAAACTGGTACTGTGATATCGTTTTCCAAAGAGGCTCAATACGATACTTATGATCCATACACTCACGGTATTCGATATCTCTATGATTAGGCAGCAGCAAATATTATGTAGTTATGTCTTTAAAATATTGACTTTGTTTTAAATCGTTTTCGATTATCGCACAAATGTTTCCTTAAGATTTAAGAGAAAAAACGGTAAGTACACATCTGTGTTGTTGTTGTTTGTTGTTTTTCAGTCGTATTCATCAGTTTTCTAGACATTTATCTAAAAATTAAGGTCATCTATAAGTTAATCTTAAATCTTAATTTAGGACTTCCAAACAAATACATGACACTGACAACAATATATGAATATTTATTATCCGTTGCGGTTATTAAGGATTCATAGCCCACAGTTTGTTGTTCTCGTTTTGCCGCACCTTTGCCGGATAAGTTCCATTTTTCCTGCATAGAAGTTTTATCTAGTTACAATTTAAAAAATGATTACTTGTCGATTTCACATTATGTTATGTTGGAGGCAAATAATTAACATAATTAACATAACTAATGACCACCACTGCCCAGGGGATGCTGTACGGATATAAGAGGTAATGTAGTTTGCTGCGGGACCATGTTAGGACGGTACTGGTGGGTTATAGCGGTCATCCTGACCATCTACATCGCCAGCAAGGTTACCATGATGATCAGGAGGTACCGGGCCATGCCTGATATAGGAGAAGATCGGATTAAGGCAGACAAGCAACTCAATGTACGAATCAAAAGTATGACCTATTGCTGCTAGCACTCGTCCGGATTAAAGGACTATTCACCCTCTTCAACTGTGTTGGAACTTTGACCCAGAAATAAGAAAAAAGGAGTGGCTCTGCAAATTGATGATGATGAAATAGTGAACATGATATGAATTGTGGAGTCATGGAGTGGTGTGTTTTAACGATTTTGTAAGGTCTTGTGTAATATGTATACTGTTTGTGATACTTTTTATTTGAGCCTGCAGTTATCACAGTAGACTCAGAGACTGAAGCATTGAGCCCAAGGTTATCACAGTAGAGACTGAAGCATTGATCAGAAGGAGTTGAAAATATTAACAGATTTACATGGTCTCCAAAACCAGATACAAATTTTCTCCTTAGCGTAAACAAAATGGTTTAGTTCTTAAGTTCACAGTAACAATTTTAACTCAGTTCTTTGGAGTCAAGGCTCTTCAGAAGCCGGAAGAGTCCGGTAGCTTCACGGATTCGGCTGTGGTCGATACAAAATGCCTGAAAACATCTTTATAAGCTGTACTAGTAATGATTTAATATCTTGAGATAATTTTGTTTAGCAGTATTCTGCAAAATGCTAAGAATTTAATACTGTAAAATTGCTTATTTTACGTTCGTTCCAATAAAATGATACTACTATTATGATATTATATCAGTAGAAACTACAAACCTGTATTTCAATGAGTATATCCTGAACATTTACTAGTCTGTTTCGTATTAGAGCGGTTAGAAACACACACACCAGCCGTACAAATCTGAAGGATTTACATGTAAGGTTCGCAGATAGCGGGTAACCATGGAAAAGTCTAAGAGACAGAATTTAAGAGCATCTCTTGGACATGCCAGTATAATACGGTAATGTTTCTTATAGTCCATTTTTACAATAAAACACTTAAACTCGAAATAAATAACTGATTTTGGGACAAAAAGGTCTCTAACCTGTGTTGAGTGTTTTTATCAGCGATCTCCGTACAGTTGGTTATACAGTTCCGTATGTAGAAGTGGATGAATTGCGGGGGAAGTTCTAAATTTGCAGTTATTTTATTCACAACCTGCATAATGCATATGAGATTAGATTAACGTACGTTGTGTTATACTCAATGTGCATTAAATTAGTGAGTCACACTTCCTTGAAACATTTACAAACATGGTATAAAAGGGGTGGTTGGGATGTATCTATATCGGGGGAATCAAGCGGAAGTGCCGTAAGTGACCGAAGGAGGTCTGGAAAGGGGGTCAAAAAGATGACACCATTTTAGAACACAGCTTAGAATTTCCTGGCCTTATTTTCTACAAAAACAAACCTCCATTGAGTGAAGTGAGAGGTCCATATTGAGAAGAACAGTGAGGTAGTCAGCAAACTGTTGAGTCTGTGCCAGGAGAAGGAGGATGTCCACAGCTAGGGAGGGGTTCTTGTCCACAAGTTTAGGCAGGGTGGAGGGAGACAGTGGTAAGCTCTGTAGACAGTCCTCCTTGTCATACAGCTCCTGTTTCAATAGGTCGTACTGCGAGCTTTCAAGAGCTTGTCGTTGAGCAAGAATGAACAGCTTCTTTGTGTCCTCAGGCTTGTCTTTATCGGTAAAAATGTGTGGCTCCCAAGCGAAAGAGTACTCTGAAATAATTCAAATAATAGCAAAATCAAGGTATTGAGCTTAATTGACAATGAAGCAACTCTAACTCCGATTATATTATAAAATGAGAAAATTAGTTGTCAAAACATGATCCGGATATTTATATAATCTTTAGATCGTGACTCAACAAAGTTCAAAATTTAGAAGATTGTTAAAAAGCGACATACCATTGTCGTTCGGACAAAGCCAGACCAGGTCATCAGAATCAGAGTAGAGAGGGGGAGGAGGTCTCACTAGAGGAGGAAGGAACACCGAGTCAGGGATGTCACTGTCAAACAGTTGACTTAAAACTTCCTTGTAGTGCTTCTCTTCTTTAGAGTCGTTCTCTGGATCGTCCAAGATTATCGGTAAACTACAATCTGCGAAGTTAATTCGTTAATACCCGGCCACTCAACTAGTTGTATTGCAGCATGCGAACAGCACATTATTCATGCAGTCTTTTGAGACATGTCAACTAAACCGTCAAATAAGGTGGCTCACACGTTATCGTTCGTAATCAGGTTTGTCACGTGACTTTTTGCCGGCACTTGTGAACATATTGAATATTGAGCGCGCACCAAATGCGCGTTTTTTAGCGCCGCAAATGACTCAAAATCGTTGCCGCGCGTGCGCTACAGTTCATTTGTCAAGACTGCTTCTGAGGCGGCGTAATACTTTGCCACACTGTCCCACTATACCAAAGTCGCAAAAAGCTGGCTTCATAACCTTGACCTTTTACAGATACTCTACTAAAATTTCGAGCTTCAACCAACCAACGTGCTCTAGCCCATACTCAGTATGTAAATTTATTATAATTGGAACCATTTCATTCCACCTGCATCAATAGAACATTAAAAAGTGTTATCTTGTATTATATGATGGACATTTATATTTGTGGGTAGTTTAATGATAATGCTCACTTAACAACTCCAGACCTGGTTTGGGAGAATAAGGAAAGTTCTTCAGTGGGGCACCAATAAGTTTGACGTTTTGTAGAATCTGCGTGGTTGTACTGGACAGCGTGCTTTGAGAAAACGGTAGCAGGTTGATCAGGTATATCGCTGCTGTTATTCTGAGGAAATATGATAAATATCATCAACAAAAGGCACATTAGATCTCTGACTTCTGAGCTAGTCGAAATATGCCGGCCTCATGGATTTCTCTGTATTTACAAACAGAATCCTGGAAAATTGTCATAACTGGATGATTAAACCTCGCCTGAGTATCTATAATATAAACTTACTTGGAATCAACAGGTTTGCGGTTAGCATAGTTGAAGATGGCTTTGTTAAAAGGGTTCAATTCCTGAGGCTGTGCAATTTGACAGAGCAAGAAGACACTGTTGATAACTTCACAGTCAGTGTTCAGCAAATACTCGTGTTGCAGTAGGGAGGCGATACACTGTCCCATCTGTTAATATTACTGATTCATTTACTTTAAATCGAAAATGTAAGGTCATGTAAATAATGTGATAAATCTGCTAATATATCAAACTTTTGCACGCTTTTCAGAAAGGGTGAGGGCAGTGCAGAACTTCCTGTACTGTAATCAGTCATAAAGTAGATATAGTAGTAAAAATGTACCTTGAAATGGAGACATTTGGGACAGAACAGTTCAAATTGGTTCCAGAGACTCTCCAGAGTGTCCTCAGTCTTTTGGATAATATCCGTTACATCTACCATGTCACACACTTCCATACTAACTCAGGCTAAACGTGGTATTCAATGTTATTTTCACTTAAATAATAATTAATAATATGTTTACAATTAATGCAATTCAATCCTAAGAACAGGAATTGTTAGAATGGTACATATGACTGTTTTATGATTGAATGAGTTAGCATGAAGATTTTGTATCTATTCGGAATTGTTAAATTTTTAGAAACAATTGTTCTTGTTGTTACAGAAGAAGCCAATTTGAAGTATTCCAAAGAATCTTGATTCACTTTGCGCCCAAGATTGTTTCTCTTGTATCAAATATGCGAACACAATATAAACTGTAACAAAAATAACAAATAAGCAGATTTAAAGAAAAAAAGGCAATTATGGTAAAAATGTGGTTTCCTTGGCTAAGTCCAGAAAGCAGAACAAGAGGTACAACTGATAACTGAACCTGTTCTTACTGATGTCCCCATTTACAGAATTTGAGGAACTCAGGGATGTAACTCCTAGCTAAATCTTACAGTATACCACATGAATAAAAAACGTTCTTCAATGATGTTGATGAACAAGACATGATTGAAATACTAAAAGAAAACAACAATTTTTAAAAAACAACAATTTTATTTAGTATCAATTAAAGCAAACATAAATGTAATTAATTATATAACTAGCATGACCTTTATACCAGATATATTAGGGGACTTGGAATAGCAAGAGAGACTTTTCTAGTAGACATATCATTCATTGTTTCACCATGATGTTCTCTGATATATGTTCCACAAAGAACTCATCATAAAGGAAGTGAGCTTCACATTTCGGACAAATGAAGCCATGTGATATTCCAGTCACTTCCTCCTGTTCAGTTTTTATTTCCTTTTTGATCGGAATTAAATTTATGTTACTCTTTACTTTAACAGTAACCGAGGATCTTTTACTCCGTGTTGACATTACAAACTTTCCTGCATTAATAACTGATTAATGAAATCAAAATGCAGATATAAAATGCGGTAAATAAATGTCAGAGTTATTATATTATAAAAAATGAATATATTGCTTATTGGAAATACGATATATTGGAAATACGATAAATTTATAAATATTAAATTCTAACATTTATTACACGCTTCGACATTAAAATATACCCAACAAAGATGTACATTTAAGTCATTCAAGCGAGACTTAGTGTTGAAATACCAAGATTATGGACTTTTTATCAGTTCAGATTTTATGAACAAATATTTGTATGAAGTTCCCAAAATTATGCACTTTCATATCAGTTCAGACTTTATGGACAAATATTAGAAATATTATCAAAAGCTAGGTGGAAATAAAACGTCTTTAGTGCATTTTTAAAACATTCTACAGATGATAATGATCTCACTGAGTAGGGTAGTTCATTCCAAATTTTTGGTCCACAAAACATAAATGCAGCATCCGTTCGTCTGAAATGAGGAGCAGGAGGAACTTTCAACAGCCATCAAAGATGATAAAGGAGATGTCAATAGCTTCAACAACTATAGACCGATTAGTAACTTACCTTTCCTCTCGAAACTCATTGAAAAGAGTGTCCAGAAACAGATGACCAAACATCTTGACTATCACACTCTTCATGCTGAGCATCAAAGTGGTTATAGGTCAAATCATAGCTGCGAAACTGCAACCCTTACCATCTACAATGATCTTCTTCGTATCAGTGACATGAAAAGCAAGGTTATCCTCCTCCTTTTGGACCTCAGTACTGCTTTTGATACTGTAAATCATCACTTGCTCCTAAAAAAACTAAAAAAGGACTTTGGTTTTGAAGGTCCTGTTCTCTATTGGTTTACATCATACCTTAATAACAGATCCTTCACAGTAACTATTGATAAATCAAGATCAAAGAGATGCTTCCTTAGAATTGGAGTCCCGCAAGGTTCAATTCTAGGTCCAATTCTGTTTATACTTTACACAAAGGAGCTCAATCAGATCGCAAAGAGACATGGATTTAACATCCATATGTACGCAGATGACACTCAACTGTACATTGAGTTTAACCCACTATTTCGAGATCTGTCAACAATCGAAGAGAGAATAACAAATTGTTTTGAAGATATTAAGACCTGGATGACCCAAAATAAACTCAAACTGAACCAAAACAAAACAGAAGCTCTTGTAGTACAGACCAAGAACAGTTACTCTTCATGTCCAGTCGATTTAATACAACTTGACAATGCAGCTGACCCAGTGGATGCATCCCGCACAGTGAAAAGTTTAGGTGTCCTATTTGATCAATTCCTAACATTTGAAGATCAAATAAACTCAATTATGAGTTGCTGCAACATCCATCTGAGGAACCTTAGAGTTATAGGCTCAAAGCTTAACTATGATCTAAAAAGACAGCTCATTCACTGCTTGATCTTTTCAAAACTAGACTACTGCAATGGACTCTTATACGGTTTACCCGATCTTCTCATAAAGAAACTCCAGAAGGTACAAAATTCCTGTGTTCGATTCTTGTTTGGTTGGAAAGTTATCAAAAAATGGGACAGTGTCACTCCATTCCTGAAAAAAGCCCATTTTCTTCCAATACGACAACGAATAGAGTATAAGATTGCTCTAACCGTGTTCAAATGCGTCAACAACATAGCGCCGGAGTATATCACCAAATGTATTGACATCAAGAGTCAACCTGTACGTGTACTAAGAACTGAAGAAGACTATTTCCTCCTAAATGTTCCTCCTTTTTCAAACTATAGTAAAACCGAGAGAAGTTTCATCTACTGCGGACCCTCTGTTTGGAATCAGCTTCCTTATCAATTGAGAAGGGAAATTGGTAGATCACCGACCGGCTATAAGCCGGTTATAAGCCGGCTATAAACCGGCTTATAGCCGGCTACAATTTTTATAGCCGGCTATAAGCCGGCTTATAGCCGGTTAGTAGCCGCTTACATTTGTTGTTGAGCGACGGCTATTAGCCGGTTATAAGCCGGCTATTAGCCGTTTAGGTATCGGCTATAAGAAATTCAGTGAAAACGGCTATTAGCCGGTTATAAGCCGGCTATTAGCCGTTTAGGTATCGAAAGTGGTTATAAGCCGGCTATAAGCCGGTTATAAGATATTAACTCAACTTCATCGTACTGAACGATAGTCAGGAGCCGGCTATAAGAAATTCAGCGAAAACGGCTATTAGCCGGTTATAAGCCGGCTATAAGATATTAACTTAACTTCATCGTACTGAACTGAGTTAATATCTTATAGCCGGCTTATAGCCGGCTTATAACCACTTTCGATACCTAAACGGCTAATAGCCGTTTTCACTCAATTTCTTATAGCCGGCTCCTGACTATCGTTCAGTACGATGTAGTTGAGTTAATATCTTATAACCGGCTTATAGCCGGCTTATAACCACTTTTAATACCAAAACGGCTAATAGCAGGCTTATAACCGGCTAATTGCCGTCGCTCAACAACAAATGTAAGCGGCTACTAACCGGCTATAAGCCGGCTATAAAAATTGTAGCCGGCTATAAGCCGGCTTATAGCCGGCTTATAGCCGGTCGGTGATCTACCAACTGGCCTAAAATCCATACTTCATAAAAATAAGTTCTTATGTACATGTTACTCATGAGTCGCTTTAGATGGTTTGAACTGAATCTTTGGGTTTTGAGTTCTTTATGGCTATAAAGCGATGTATAAATTCCTACTTATTATTATTATTATTAACAAATAAAAGTCATCATCTAGTCTGGAACTTTGTCTTCGTACTTCCCTTAGATTGATGTGTCCTTGTAAGTACTGAGGGGCTATGTTATTAAGACACTTGAAGACCAGAAGTGATATTTTGAACTTGATTCTGAACCGAACAGGTAAAAAGTGGAGCTTTTTGAGGTAAGGCATGATAGGTTCACGTATCTTTTTTCCGTAAAGACCAAAGATAAATCTAACAGCATTGTTCTGTATCTTTTGTAGCTTATGGAGATTCTTTTCTGTTATACCATAATAGACTGAGTTGCAGTAGTCTATGAAACAGAGAATATTGGAGTGAACTAACTGAACTTTTAGTTCATGGGAAAGCTTTGAACCGATTCTTGATAAGTCCCTTTGATTCAAATAACATACTTTGGAGACAGCATTTATTTGAGAGTCCAGATTCATTTGGTGATCGAAAAGGAATCCCAGGTTCTTGGCCTTGTTAACAGGACAGATTGAGAGGTCTCCTAAATCCATTATCTAATTTGTCAATTTACTAATTCGTACTTTCAATACACGACAAAATCAATGGGTTTTCAATTAATAGTTAGATATATTGAAGCTTATGATTCACTTTAAGGCCAGAGGCCTTAAAAAATCTCAAAAATCACATTTTGCCATTTTGTTAACCTCATTACATATTTCAAGAACAAAGGCAAAAATCAAAATTCTAAAATTAAGTTTTTTGCGAAAAACGACTTAAGTTCGAAAAAATAACTTACGAAACATATATAAATCGTATGAAAGTCAGAGCACGTGATTTTTCGAGACAAAAATACTACATTTTCGGACTACCAAAATTTAGGCCAGCATCATTATTTTCCCCAAATTATTTTTCACGTATTTTCCTTAATTATAACTTTATCGATTTATTCTCAACTTATCAATATAGTACTAAGTTATAAATAATAAATATGGTTCTTCAAGCAACTAATGAACATTAGTATTCGATCATGAATTGCTATAAAAATGATTTTGGATACAATCCATTAAAAATAAGCAAGCTCTGTCACTACTATATTGGTCACGGCAGTTAAATTTCGGGAGTACTCCCGAAATTTAAGTTAGTGGAAGATAACAAACGCTGTCGGTCTCCTATACCCTTTGAAGGATAATAAGTTAAGTTGAGGCTAACTTTCAAAGGCTACGGAGAAATTGTTTACAAGACGAAACAGCTGATCAGAGAAGATCTTTGTATAGAAATGACAATTTTTTTTTGAGAAAAGACAATTTGATTATTTATGTGTGTAGTGTGTGTAGCTTACGTTGTAATTATCGAGCTCTCTTATCTTTTGTAACTTAGCGATAAGTTCAGTTTG